CTGAGGTGGAGGGTTGGTAGGACGTCCTTCCGCACCGTGAACGCACGCATTGTTGTGAAGACTGGCACAAAATGTACTGCATAATAAGTACGACGGACGATAGACTTGACTGCGTGACACACTTTGATCGATTCCTGCCCCTTCCATGGCAAACATAGATAGACGGGACAGCGAGGTGGACCAATCAGCACCGATTTCGGTTTCTGCTCCATGGACAGAAACTTACGCAACAAGAATTCCGGGTAGCCATTCTTCAAGAAAACAGGTCGAAGGAAATCGAGCTCGGCCTGCTGCTTACTGGGCGAACAAATACGTTTCGCACGGTCCACGAGGTTACGAACTAAGTTGACCTTGTATTGAAACGAACAATATGAATCGAAGGCAATGTACTGACCGGTGAACGTAGGCTTACGATACACAGAAGTCAACATTTCACAGCCAGTCTTCTCTACAAGCACGTCTAGAAATGACAACTTACTAGACTGCTCGTGCTCACAAGTAAAGCGGAGGGAAGGATGTAGGTTGTTGAGCACATCGAGAAACAATTCACTGCTCTCAACACTGTCAAAATGCGTGAACGAATCGTCAACAAAACGCACGTAGAACGCGGGCCAAAGCGACTCATCAATCTTGCACTCACAATAACCAACGAATATATTGGCGAGGACGGGACCAAGAGGAGATCCCATCGCCACACCATCTACTTGCTTGTACATCACATCGTTGAACGAAAATTCGACACCAGTTGTAACTGACAGCATCAAATGACGAAACGCCGCTTCCGATACCCATGGAGTATCAACATCATCGTTACGGTACAATACATCCATACAGATGTCAACAGTCTCATCAATAGGAACATTCGTAAAGAGACTTACAACATCGAAGGAACACATGTGTGCATTGAGAGGGACCGGACTATCACGAAGCCTCGCAACAAAGTCGAAGCTATCCTTCACAGTACGTTTGCAATAGAAATCTTGAACAGGCTGTAGGTAGATGCACAGCCATTTCGAGATAGAGTATTGAGGGGAGGCGGTCATGGATACTATTGGTCTAACAGGGCATGTAGGTTTATGAATTTTAGGAAGGCCATAGAGTCTAGGACGAAGGGTACCAGTCGGTTTGATGCGATCGAATTCATGTTTTGATATTTGTTCTTCATTCTTTAGCTTCTTAAGGTAAGTTACAAGATCCTTTTCTACTTTTTCAGTTCGATCACAGGTCTTGACCGGACCAAGTGTACGGAACTTTGATGTGTCATTTAGGATAACGGACATCTTCTCGATGTAGTCAGTTTTATTCATTAAAACAGTTGCACGACCCTTATCCGGGCGCGTGACAATAATGTCTTTGTTATTACGTAGCTCATGCAGGGCTTTGAGATGTTCGCGTTTCAATGAAAACGTTCTTCTATCCGGTAATGCATCAGCGTGCTCCTCGGCCTCTGCCCGGATCTTTGCGGCGCAAATGGACTGTTGTGACTCGGACACCGGTCTGAAACGTAATAACTTGCGGTAAAAGAGCTCAAACTCGGTCATGATTACTTCCTTCTTGTTTGATTTTGGTGGAATCCCGAAATCGGTTCCACGACAGAGGAGCTCTTTCTGAAGAGTGGTCAACTCTAGTGATGTCATGTTAATTATGGTGGTATCAGGATCGATGGTGACATGTCCATATCGCTTCTGTCTTAGCCAATTGTAGGTCTTGTCATGTTTTGTGATTAGATGGATACGTTGTTTCTGGTCATTTTCCGAAAGGAGCATAGAGAATCTCAAGAAGTCGTGAGAGGAGAGAAAGCAGCGTGCACGATCATACAAATATCTAAACCGCGAACGTGACTTTGACAAAGTGTCGCAGGACCGGGCAATCTCGTCTTTCATGAATACGCGTTCGATGTTTAACGTGTGGTAAGCTTTGGTCCTGCGGACACGGTTCTCTACACCACCTGGACAAACACCATTGTCCAGACAACGTCTAAGGAACACTACGTTAAATGCAACACTACGATAATGAAATCGTGACTTCAGCGCATGGTTCAGAATATCTATCTGAGTCTGGCTATATCTCGACCTGAAGTATTTAAAAATTCGACGAGGAGACAATAATTTTAATATGGCAATAAGTAGGACGAGCTGAAGCGACATGTGGACTACTTTATTAACAATGTAAGCGATGGAGACGATGCAAGAAACAACCTAAAGGGTAAGGAAAAATACATGTAAGAAGAAAAAGGGCAATGGAAAAAAAAAAAAGGATGATTCGAACAAGTTTTCGTACAACACTCTTCAGGAATCACCGGTGTTTCTCGATGTGCTCAACAACCTACATCCTTCCCTCCGCTTTACTTGTGAGCACGAGCAGTCTAGTAAGTTGTCATTTCTAGACGTGCTTGTAGAGAAGACTGGCTGTGAAATGTTGACTTCTGTGTATCGTAAGCCTACGTTCACCGGTCAGTACATTGCCTTCGATTCATATTGTTCGTTTCAATACAAGGTCAACTTAGTTCGTAACCTCGTGGACCGTGCGAAACGTATTTGTTCGCCCAGTAAGCAGCAGGCCGAGCTCGATTTCCTTCGACCTGTTTTCTTGAAGAATGGCTACCCGGAATTCTTGTTGCGTAAGTTTCTGTCCATGGAGCAGAAACCGAAATCGGTGCTGATTGGTCCACCTCGCTGTCCCGTCTATCTATGTTTGCCATGGAAGGGGCAGGAATCGATCAAAGTGTGTCACGCAGTCAAGTCTATCGTCCGTCGTACTTATTATGCAGTACATTTTGTGCCAGTCTTCACAACAATGCGTGCGTTCACGGTGCGGAAGGACGTCCTACCAACCCTCCACCTCAGTCATGTTATCTACAACTTCGAATGCCGACATTGTGCTAGTCGGTATGTTGGTAGGACTGTTCAGCACCTGAACGCACGTATCAAACAACACACTCCACTTCACATCCTTCCACCCAGTGCGCAATCTGAGAGGCCCAAACGCGGGAGGCCTAGGAAAAACCCATCACCTAGACGGCAGGATAGTTCCCTGCCGCTGTCTGCCGCTCCCCCTCTGACATCTGTGTTGGACGGGCTGGAGCTTGGCAGCTCTTTGGAGGTGCGTGCGGAACCGCCACTGGTGCAGCCCTCGGGTGTGCCTAAGTCTGTGTCTCTGGGTGCTTTGCATGGGGCTGTGCCTCGAGTGGTGACAGCACCTCTGCCTCCCCCTGACCCTCCTCCTTCGAGGTCTGTGTTGGTGGGGAGCACCCGTGGTGGTCGATTTGTCCCACCGGAACCAGAGCTGGATTCAACAGAAAGACCAACAACCATGGCGGCAACAACAACACCAGCTTCACATCCAACAACAACACCAGGTTCACATCCAACAACAACAACAACAACTAATCCACAAAACAAAGCAGCAAATGACAGACCACGGAGATCTACAGCAGATTACAACCGGACCTATGAATTCACGGTAAAAATACAAAGGAAACAATCGGAAAGGACGACGACTGACGTGAAGGCAACGGCATTCAGGGTTGGCGTGGGTGGTGAAGGTGAGACGCAGGACGATGCAAGTGAGGAGGAGAGTCAAACCGCGGTGGATGACGGAGCAGGTTCTGATTCGGACAGTGAGGGAGAAGGTGAGCTGAGTGAGGGTGAGAGGGAGTGTGAGGGTGTGCGCGTGAGTCGAGATTGTGTGCGTCCGTCTCGTAATAACAAGTCTTCAGTATACAATCATTTGGTTTCTAGTACTGACTGTTGTCGTACTTATTCTGATTCCTGTTTTTCTGTTTTGTGCCGTGCTCGTCATGGTTATCTTTTGCAGTTACAAGTTTTGGAAGCTGTTTGTCAGCGCATTCATAAGCCGAATTTGTGTGTCCAGAAAGATAGTGTTATTACCCTAAAATTGTTCAAATAATGTTCTGTTGTGTAGTGTGGCAACGTTATTGCCACTTGTGCCTAAATGTGTTTTGTCACCTTCTTGTTTATTATTGTTATTATTATCATTCGTTCTCACTTTTTTGTTTTTTGTTGCTGATACACACTTGTCACGCTTAGTTCTTACTTGTATACCCTTGTTTTCTGCACACTTTTGTGAGAAATCGCACCTCGATATTCTAGTGCTGTCATTGTATCGTGTCACCCTACCTTGATTGCTATAATAATAATAATAATAATAATAATAATAATAATAATAATAATAATAATAATAATAATAATAATAATAATAATAATAATAATAATAATAATAATAATAATAATAATAATAATAATAATAATAATAATAGTTACAGTTCGCATGTCACTCATGGAAGGATCCATGGGCTTAACGCATCTGTCAACGAAATCCAGGCAGAAGAGCCGACAAAAG